CGGCAGGGTGTTCTGATCTGCCTTGCTGCATCTCCATTGACGGCGGTTTTGGCGTATTTCACTGCAACTCCACACAGGGGTTTTGCACGTGTTTCAGTGATGGAGACGAGGCCCGTCGTCCCAGCGGCTGCTTTTTCCCTGTGGCCTGCGTTGTCCACTCATTTGATCCCGTTAACAAGCCTGTTGGTACATATGGGGATCACATTAAGCCTATAACTTAACCGAAGAAGGACGGGCAGCTGGTCGGTATTGAGTTCTTTACAATCTTGGTCTTGGCCCGACACTCCCCTTTGTGTCTCTTGTGACTATTGGCTTTCCTCACATTGTTGGCTAAATTTATGAAGCATTTTATAGTATACTAAAGAACAGTAGTTCCTTTTGTCGTTGGTCTCATGGGGTATCCAGCCTTTCGCCATCGAAACAGGATTTTGTCATTTAGTTAAAAAATATATATATATATGTGTATATTTGCATATTTATGTATGCAAACAACCTCCAGTGTTTAAAGTAAGTTCATGGTTTATGTTGGGCTGCGTGTTGCCTGCAGGCCACTGGCTGAACACTCCTGATATTTTTAAATTCTTTTAAAACCATGTTTTCATATAAATGCCACTGATGCATTTTTAAAGTTTGTCTTGCTGCTTTATGGAATAAATTACGGTGTGAGATCCAGGGTAGGAACCAAGATGGCCTCCCTCTTTTTTTTTTTTTTTCCTGTTACATGCTGCTATCTGAGCTCTTTGGTTTAGCTGACTGATTTGTGCCTTTACTAGGTTAAAGGACGTGGAGATATGGGCGATCTTCATCTTTTTATTGAGAGAAGATAGCTGATGAAGTACATTGAGTCTTAGCAAAGGCATTTTCAGAGTGTTGGGTACAAGCATGTCATCCTCTTCTTCAGTGTACTTAGGGGAGCGTTGAGGATTTTTCCAACAGTCAGTCGGCATTTTCGTCCCTGAATAAAAATGGTGCTTGTTTGCTGGGCTCTGTTTCCTCACTGCGCTTTTAGATTTTGTTCACTGATACTTAATTACAGCTTTTATTTCATTTATAGAGAATCCTTTTGTCTAAAGGCTTTTCTTTTTACTGCCTTTTGAAAATACTCAATTTTTTGTTGTTGTGTGTGTGTATGAGGGTGGGCATTCAGGTCCCTCCCTCTCCCTCTCCCTCCTCTTCCTCTCCCTCCCCCTCCCCTCCCTCCCCTCCCCCTCCCCCCTCTCTCTGTAGGTCAGAATTTGTTCCCTCCTTCTACCATATCTGTGCTGGGGAGTTGACCTCAGGTCCCCTGTGCTTTCCTCAGAGCTGTCTTTCAACCCCTTTTACTGCCTTTGCAGTTCAGTTTGAATGACACATTCCTGTTAATGAGGCTTTCTTCCATGTTTATTTCAGAGTTGGGATTGTATAGGTTTGGCTCTTGGTGATAAAAACCCTGTGATGTCATTGGAACTTCGTGCTTGACTATGGGGTCATTGCCTGATAGTGTAATCCCCCCCCAGAAGAAAAAGGTATATTTCTTAAGAGACCCGTTTTAAAACACTAATCAAATTAACTTTGCAAACTGTCTCTTTAAGCACTTGCCATTTTGATAAAAATTTAGAATGAATTGTTTAGAAGTTCTAAAGGCCTAAAATGAGGGAGGCTTCCTGTTTTAAAGCTGCCATCGCTGTCATTTATTGTGTATATTTGTGTGCTGTCCATTTTATCAGATTAACTATTACTCCTAGCTCTGCTTTTGAACCCAGAATTTACAAAACTAGAACAATTATTTTAGGAACCTTTCTTTATACCTGTATTATCTTTTTCAGTTCCCTTTTCCTATCTAATTTTTCTGTTCCATTTCTTTAGTTTGATCTGGGAAGTAATCTGTTTTTTTAAAAAATAAAAGTTCCTAGGACGAATATGTATGTATGTATACACATCTACATTCCTAATTACTGCTTTATGTATATTGCAGATTCTGGTAAGTAATCTATAAGGTCATTTACTGCTTAGGTACTCAATAATACTCTTAACTGGAAGCAGGTGATTAGAATCACATTGTGATTAAGTGGCTAGTGGGACAGGTGGGATGTTTCTGGAAAAGCTTCTCTTCAGTGTTGTGGAAAGAACACACCATTCTGACTCCCAGTACTGCTCTGCCTACTCTCACGGCCTGTAACCCCGCTGAGTTAAGTGCTGTGTCTCTGTCAGCTCATGTAAGCATCTCAGTATAAGCTTGAGGCACCTGCTACCGCCCTCTTATGTAAGAGGAAGCTGTCCCTCTGAAGAGTTCATGTAAGTGGTCTAGATGTGTCCAACAAGGCCAGTCCTGTTGTCTACATTGGAAGCTAGCTCCGACTCCCCCCGCGCACCCCCCCCATTGGCTAGTGTCCGGGCAGTGGTGTTGTGATGTCATAGAGGCCTCGGGCGGTGTGGCAGAACTGTAGACGCTAGCAACGCAGTGTGACTGGATGAGGTAGCACTGGCTTGGTGTTCAGCTGTTAGCGAGTGAAACATGAGGCTGATCTGGGCTGCATGAAGCGACAGTAAACTGTAATATGCCTGCGGGACATCTAAATGGATCCTTGTGGTAACCAGGTGAGCGGGGAGCTAGAGGGCTCTTGCAGCCATTGCTTTGCCGGTTGTAGGAGATTTAACTGGTGGGCTTGAAAGTGCTTGAAGGAAGTAGGAGGCTGAGAGTATGCACTTGAAGGAGTCAGTGTTCATGAAAGGACCAGGGGGCGCCTCAGGTAGCAGCTGCAGGGGGCTGGCCTGGGTGGAGCCAGGAAGGTGGGGACAGGCGGCGATGTGCCGAGGACGTGTGGTTATGAAGGGGAAGGTGCGGGGTGGTGGTGCCTGCCTGCGGGCCAGGCCCTCCTCTCTCCTCTCATTTTTTTTTCTTTTGAAAACTTTCTTCCTCTCCCCACCCTTCAGTTTTTCTACACACCGTTCTCTCACTTTTCTTTATCTTTTTCACATGATGTACTCGGATATTCGGCATTTGAAGAATCCCTCTTAGGATCACAAGGCATCTTGTTTTAAATCAGGGCTGCAGATGCAAATGACAAAGATGGGGAAATGCCTGGGCATTAGGGCTGCCTTAGGGTTTCTGTGGCTGTGCTAAAACACCATGACCAAAAGCAGTTTGGGGAGGAGAGGGGTTACCTCCGCTTACAAGTCCTCACCACAGTCTAGCACTGAGGGAAGTCGGGGCAGGGCCCTGGAGGCAGGAGACGATGCAGAGGCCAAGGAGGAGTGCTGTCTACTGGCTTGTTCTCCAGGGCTTGCTCAGCATGCTCTCTTGTACCACAGAGGACCACCAAACAAGAGAGTGCACCGCAGGCTCACCAGCGGGCTTGCCCGCAGGCTCGCCCGCAGGCCACTCTGGTGGGGGTGTTTTCTCAGTCCAGCTTCTGTCTTCCCAGGTGACTCCAGGTGTGTCAAGTTGATGGGAAACACGAGGGTGGCAGTGCTTAGAGTTTGTGAACACAGTTTGTCCAGGACATTTAGTATCTGAAATGGCAGCCACCATGTGCTAAGTTGCAAGCCTGCATTGTAAATAGTTTTGTCTTCTTTACAGAAGACATAGAGGGACAGGCCATTGTTATGTGCATGGTGTGACACTGTGGTTCCAGGCAATATCTAGTTCATGTTATTCAGAGTTGAGGTCATCAGTTAAAAATCAGAATCAGAATTTGGAATCTTTTAACATTTTTAGAGAATTCACTATAAGCATACATAGGGGAGATTTGGGGAAAATTTTGAAAAATGTATACCAAGTTCAAACTTGAATTAGAGTTCTGTCTTTTTGTGTTTGAGGTGAAAAAAATGTAGGTACACACACACATGCACACACAAGACACATGCATGTACACACATTGATTCTGCAGCTAAATGATTTTCCTTTTTTTAAAATTAATTTTCTCTTGAGCGTTTCATGCATGGTTACTATATCTACACCCTGTCCTCCCCCTTCATCCAGTGTGTAACATACTGTTACAAAAACCGCAACATCGTTAGATATAATAAAATTTTATGTGAGTAAGTAGTTCCTTAAAGCGACGATCAGAAACCTATGCGTTTAGCTCCTTAGTACTCACTGCCTTCTATGTGTCTTTCTTCAGGGGAACACGCAATTTCCATTGTGAACCACCTTCAGAGTTTGTGGTAGGACCCGAGGACAGAGCCCCTGATGCCCATGTGGAACAAAGGTCATTGCGGTTAGGCCGTTGGGTGTGTGAGTGGGTTGACCGCTGAAGATGACTCCTTACATTTCACAACACGCTAGATTCATTTGAATTTTTGGAAGCACTTAAAAAATAAAGTACTATAAATACATGTTTTTTCCTCATTTGGATTTTTGCCTTTTTCTTTTTCTTTTGGTACTTGTCAATCAGTTGCTCCCATAACCTTGTAATGAGCGTCTTAAGCACAGCATAGCTGGGTTATTGTGGACCTAATAGCAAACTTGTCTCTCAGCGCCACTTTTGTGAAGACAGTCCAGTGAGTGAAAGTTGACTTGAACACAACACTCAAAATTATCACAGAAGAGGAGCTTCCAGGGTGTTACGGTCCCCCATTCGTCTTCATTTTGCTGCAGTGAACGTTGAGCTGTTGAGCTCCGCATGACTGGAGCCAGGGTCGCTAGTGTTTGACAGCGTCTGTCTCCTACCTTCACAGCACTCCCGGCCACACCCAGGCCGGTGCCCCTTTATAAAGAGTCCCATCAACTGTCCCGAGTTAGCGAGTGGACCTGCCGAGCATGGTAGGAAATGAACACCTCCAGCCGGCCAGGATAGTACGTGCGTGTTAAAGATGTTAAAACGTACTCATTGCCAGTCTGCGGCTCCCGTGGAAACATCACGTATAATTCAGAGGCACTCCTCAGGGTTTCAGACATTAGCTCTAAAAATCTCGAGTCCTCAACCCCGCCGCTCTGACTCCCGCGCCCTCTCCCATGTACCCACCCCACCCCGTCTCTGTCCTGTCTCCTGACATGGCTCTCGTGCTTCTGTCCCCAGTATCCGGAGTGCATCTGTCACCAGCCTCTCCGGAGCTCATCCTGGACCATGACCACTCCTCTCCGTCCTCCGGCCGCCTCCCTTCAGATGCTGTTATTCCATCACCAGACGACACCCGCGCAGACAGCGGCCTTGTGAGTCAGACCATCCCCAAAGCTCAGGTGAGCCCAGGCCGTGTCCCAGAAGGCGGCTCGCACACAGAAACTGCTGCACCTTGGCTTAGTTCACCTTCTGGTGACCTCTTTTTAGAATGAGTGTTCTCAATAGAGATATTTCGGTAGTAAATAGATAGGGCACTCTTAATTCTGAGGCCAAGGTTTAGAATTGGGAAAAAAAAAAACCTAGGTAATAGTGCTGTGACATGATTGCAGAAGATTGAAGTACCTCAGTTACAAAAGTTTGCTCCGAGTCACTTGGTCCTCAGGCCCATGGCTCCACTTAGGGGCCCAGAGGACACTGGGTTCAAAAAAGAAAGCTGGCTGGCAGGACTCGCTCCACAAACACCCAATGAGCCTAAAGACCAGTCAGAGCACAAGGCTTCCTGTGTAGATTCCCACATATCATGTACCAAGTATCATGTGTCTTCCAGCCACCAGGGTAAGGACTACCGGGGCTGCAAGCAGTTCCAGGGGATGTCACCCCAAACACATGCAGATATCCACACACAGACACTCCTCCTCCCCCAGGGAAAGAAAACAAATGTACTACCAATTCCCTGTTGAAAGTTGAGAAACTGAGGCACACAGGGTAGAACTTCCTATAGGAGCATTGCTGGTGGCCGCAGGGACAGAGCTGGTACACACAGCTGACTGTTCGACTGCTTTACAATTTAACTGTGTGTGAAATTGCCCTGGGAGAACATCCAGCCTCTCTGTACTCAGTCGGGGGCATTTTTGTCACCAAAGTCATCGTGGTAAACAGCTGTGCGTGGTCACTACAATGGACTTAGCTTTGCATATGGTATCTTGGGCTTAAAGGAGAATAACAACAAAAAAAGAATAATTGTTTTTGCATTTCAAACTTAAATTCAACGTTAAACTTCAAAAAGGAAAATGATTATTAGAAAGGATAGTTTTTCATTTCTGGGAGTATTAACATGTTTTGAGGTACGAAGAACATCTACTTCAGTTTTAGGGTAAAAGCTCCCAAAGGCAACATCACAACGTGTATTCATCCAATCAGGTATCTGCAGAGCTAGGGATCATGCTGGGTTCTGGAGGCAGGCTCCCAAAACTCAGTTTTAAAGTGTCAACTGCAATTGTAGGTAACCTGTTACTTTTGCTAGCGTTTGGTAAGTTAGCATCATTAACGAATGCTAAATTCCGAGTTACAGTTTAATCATAAACGAGTCCAAGGTCTGTGTATACATTTCAGAGTGTGTGTGTCTCAGATGTATTTGTGCTCCATTGTGCATTTTTGCACTTAAAGGTTTTGAGTGTTTTAGTGTGTTATCAGCAACCCAGAGGTAGTGAGGACCGTAGATGTTAGAGAATGTTTCTTAGGGCTTCAAATATCAGGCTGTTGTAATAATCTGAAAGTCTGTTGTTGGTTCACTTAGAGGGGGAAGTAATTTCATCGCTTTCACTACAACTTGATTCTAAATGTGATTTACGATGCCCCTTGACCATTTGCTTAACGGGATGGTCTAACTCTTCTCTGCTCACACGGTTTAGATTCAACAGTCGGCGCACACACATCTGAATATCCCACTCTTTCCGCTTGGCTTAACGGATGAGACAAACCATGGAGGGATTGCATTGGAGGATGACCCTGAGGGTCCTGGAGCTGACGTGTCCAGCTCGCAGCTCCAACAAAAAATATCAAGCCTGGAGACTAAACTGAAAGCCTCTGAAGAAGAAAAACAGAGAATTAAAAAGGTGTGTGTGTGTACATGCGCGCGCATATTTGCCTGGAGATGTAGAATTGTATATGCTAGCAACTTGTTATAACCCATAGTGGGTTGAAAATTCACCAGAGACTGTATTGTCTTCCCCAGGGGTAGAGGTTCAGGCCAGTCACATGAGAGCCTCAGCGGAGTCCCTTTATTAGAAGCCGCTACTCATGGGTTAGAGAGATGGGTGGCTCTGCGGTTAAGAGCATTTGTTCTTACAAGTGCATCCAAGTTTGGTTCCCAGCACACCCCCACGGCAGCTCACAACTGTCTATAACTCCATGCCTCCTCCTGTCTTCTGTGGGTTGCTGTATGCGTGTAGTGCAAATGTATGCATGCAGGCAAACAGACATATACATAAAATGAAAAACTAAATAGACCATGAACGAAAGTCTCACGTCAAAGTGGTTGGCACACCCATGTATTCGCCATCCGATTCAATCCACCGTACGTCAGACACTCAGGGACACACCTTCTATGTGCTGTAGGCGTATGTTGACAGACCCCCCATTTCCTGTTTCTACAAACAATACAATGGTTTGTATCATTTTTGTTGTACATATTTTAAGTGGCTGAAGCTCATTTAGCATACATGATAGGATGTGTGTAGGTCATATGAAAACACATGGTGCTGTTTTTTTTATAAAGGATTTTGAGCATCCTGAGACTTTGGTGTTAGCTGGGAGCCACATGAGCTGAAAGGTTGAATGTGGTTCTGAGGCATGCATGGATTTTTCTGGGGCTCTCTGTTGTTGTTTCTTGCTCCCCCAAGGCTTCCGTTTCTGTCGGCAGCGTTATACGTCACGTGTGGATTTCAGATTTTACTTGTTACCTTCTCCCTGTGGGTGTTTGAACACAGCTGTTGAGGGAAGGAACTGGCATAGACTCTCAACTCCCTTCTACCCTTCCATCTGTCTGTCTATCCATCCACCTGTCTTCTCTCATTTATCATCTGTCAGTTGTCTTCTCTCCTCATCCTATCTATTTCCGCCCATTTGTCCACCCCTTTGTACGTCTGTCTGTCTGTCGGAAATGCTTACAGAGCTCGGGTGCTCATTGTCCTCGTTGTGTGTTTGTGGTGTGTACCTATGGTTGTATGCATGTAGCAGGGCATGGCCATGGATCTGTGGAGGCCAGAGGTCACTTCAGGACGTCTTCATGTATCTGCACTGTGTCTCCTCCTGACCTGGAGCTCACCGTTTCCACCAAGGTGGCTGGCCAGTGGACTCCTTGTATTCCCCATTGATACCCACAGATGCTTGTGGACACACTTGGCTTTGTGTGTGTGTGTGTGTGTGTGTGTGTGTGTGTGTGTGTGTGTGGTCTGTACTTGGGTCCTTCAAGTTTCTGTAACAAGCACTTTACCCACTGAGCCTCCCCCCACCCAGCCTCACTCTTTTGTACATTTGTTAATTGTAACATTACCTCAATATTTGATGCTGGCCTAGAAACTAGTTAACTTGGGCGATGCCATCCACATGTAGTCCTTAGACTGTAAGCTGTTTGTCCTGAGTCTTCTCCCGTGACGTGTTTTCTGTCTGCTGAAGTGTGTCGTGCCGTGGAGTACTGCAGAGCTTGTGTTTGGGTTCCTCCCCGTAGGACGTGGACGCGCTGATGGAGAAGCACAGTGTCCTGGAGGAAGGATTCCTGAAGGAGAAGGAGCAGGATGCCATGTCCTTTCAAGCCCGCTACCGTGAGCTGCAGGTGAGCAGTCCCTCGAACACGCTCTTGTTCCCAGGCACGCTCGGTGACGGTCCCGAGTGAGCATGGGACCTTCAGTCCGGGAGGCACTGGAAAGCGTCACCTTCAGCTGCCATGGCCTTTTCTGTGATGGCCACCAGATCGCTGACCCCGTGTTAGCGTGCAGGGCTTACCCGGAAGGTGCTTGCAAACAGAGATTTGGGGAAATGGAGTTGATTTGTTAGCGCAGTGCTTTCCTCTTAGGAAGTCACTGTAGGTAGACGGATGCCAGACCCTGGAGCATTTGGACTGGGAAAACACCCGTCGTCACTGTACCTGCTGAGCTCATGTGTGTCGCGGGCCAGGTGCCCACGCTTCCTATAGAATAGGGTGGGGGATCCAACCCACATTTCCTGTAGAATAGGGTGGGGATCCAACCCACATTTCCTGTAGAATAGGGTGGGGGTGGTCCATGCATTTTACCCTCGGGTATCTAACTCGCGCATCTTCTGCGTGTGTGGAGAGGGAAAGAAGGAAGCACCCGTTTCTTTTGTTAAGGTGACAGGGGTGACAGGAGGTGGCAGGAACTCCACGGTGTCTGCTGCACGAGGCAAGCTGAGTGCAGTGTTCCAGGGTGTGGATCGAAAGCACTTCTCCGGAAGAAATGGCCAGGGCGCACTGGGTATCCCAAGTAACGTGCTTATTCATGCAAAGTCCTGACTTATCCCGAGGAAAATTAAACCTCTTCAGGTGCTTTCAGAGCATTTCGTTTCAGTTTCCAAGTTTGAAAGGAAACCTGCCATCCCAAGGTAAGCACGGGGCTCACGCCGGGCGAGGCTTTGGCTGACCCCGGGTAGAGTAATTAACAGATGGAATGCGTATAAAACTTTAGCTGACTCTTTAAAACACGAAGTATGGCAGAGAGTTCTGTTATTTTTGTGACACGCGCTCATTTCTAGGCCAGGCGGGAAAGTGTGGAAATGCCCGGGCACACAGACATCTAAGAGGGTTGTGACAGCCAGGGAACAATGGGGACGCCTCCCCTTTCCTGCCCTGTCTAGGGTGTGAAGTCCGCCGAGCAGAGGGGCCAGTTGAGTGAGTGACTGATCTCGCCTGGGACTCTGAAGGTCTTCCCTGGGGCTGCACGGAGTGTGCCTGTCTGTCTCCAGCGTGTGTCCCGGATCTCCCTTGTGTGTCCCATAGCCGTGCTCAGCACCTTGACAAGCGCCAGGGGAATTTGCTGGCCTCTCAGAAAGCGCATCGCAGTGGCATGTTAAAATCCTTTAACAGCAGACTTGGCCAGTTCCTAAGGCTTCTTTCTGGTGGCTGTCACCTTGGGGTAGCCGTGGCCAGCTCTTGGGCTCTCAGTGTAAGCCTTGAAAAATGAAGCTTCTTTGCTGTGTGGTGACCAGTCTTCAAGTGAGCCTGTAGTTACGGCCTTCATTATGGCACTGCCACATCATTAGACTTCATCCTAATTGTCCCCCTATTCATTTTTCTACAAAAGTTCTTCGGAGTGACAGGAGCTCAAATATTTTCGGCTTGAGAATTAAAAAATATTAAGGAATAGACCCAGACTGTTAACAGGCGAGTGAAATGTCTCAAGGACCTTACGTCTACACGTATAAACGTAATTTTTAAGGCATTGGGTCACCACCTGTGCTTTCCCCCTGACCCCATAGCCATCTTAAGCTTCCGAAGAGTGGGGATTATTCTCAGTATTGTCACGCTTTGAACATTGAAATGTCGAACTCTGGGGCATTTGCCCTGACTCTGCTCTTGAGGCCTTTGGTTCTAAGGCCATATTAAATTGGTGATTTGATAGCCCCAGGATTTTCATTTGGTGACCTCAGGTGTGGGAAATTAGCCAAGTCTGCGCAGGAACCTGACTAATGCTCTGGGGCGTACCAGCCAACATGTGCCATGCTTGGATACTTTTTAATGTCATTTTAGAAGAGGGAATCTTAATTGAGAAAGTGCTCCCACCAAATTGTACCCTGCCAAGCCTGTGGTACATTTTCTTGATTGATGATTGATGTAGTTGGGTCCAGTCCATCACGAGTGGTGCTTACACACACACACACACACAGTCCATCATGAGTGGTGCTTACACACACACACACAGTCCATCATGAGTGGTGCTTATACACACACACACACACACAGTCCATCATGAGTGGTGCTTACACACACACACACACACACAGTCCATCATGAGTGGTGCTTACACACACACACACACACACACACACACACACACACACACACACACACACATACCCACCCCAGGCTGGTGGTCCTGGGTGATACAAGAAAGCAGGTAGGGAGCCACGAGGAGCCGTCTGGTAAGCAGCTCTCACCGATGTACTCTGCTTGAGTTCCTGCCTTTAGTTCCTCCCTTCGGTTCCTGCCCTGGCTTCCCTCAGCAATGGACAATCAGAAGAAACCCTTTCATTCCCAAGTTGCTTTTGGTCATGGTGTTTTATCCTAACAGTAGGAGCCCCAATTAAGGCAGAAATTGGCACCGGAGAGTAGACTGTTGCTGTGACAGACCTGACCCAGGTTAGTGGGAGGCTTGTGGAAGAACGTTGGTCTGTAGAAGCCACCAAGTGTTCAGAGCCCAGTGAACTACTGTTAAGTGTGTGGACCAGCGCTACCGGGGACAGTTCTTCTGGGGATCAGTTCCTCAGGCAGAGCACACAGAATCTGGGGCAGTTCTTCCGGGGATCAGTTCCTCAGGCAGAGCACACAGAATCTGTGATCCAGACTGGGCCGAGACGGTACTCGATGCTGGCAGATGAACGTGGTCTGTGTGGGAGCCTTTCGGGGGGTGCTGGTTTTGCAGGCATGAAAGGGATCATGGAGAGAAGGTGAGGCTGACTTGTGCGTCATGGACACTTAAGCGGCCTCACAGTTCAGGCATGTCAGGTTAAATGAGTGCTCAGTTTGAGTCTGCCTTCCATTGAGGTCTCCGAAGTTCTCCCGTGGTTCCGTATGACAAACGTAGACAGTCCTGCCGTATAGTCAGGTAGGTTCAGCGCTCTCAACAGTAAATCAAGGGTCATTCATGGCTGCCTGCAGAAGCTTCCTGGCCTGATAGCACAGGACCTTTGGGGCCTGATGTTTCTGGAAAGGCTTTCGCACAAACGCACAAACATATCTAAAAAATGGCAGAGTTGTAACCATCAATGGGTTGGAGCTTTGCTTTATAAGATGAAATAAGGTTTCAAGTTGGCCTCGTAATGATTTGGTAAAAACATGACTTTAAAGTTGACAGCCGTTTTGTTTGCTCCAAGGATGTGTGTCTGCCCCCATGTCACCCTCCGTCCACTGTGTTGTGTCTCACGGAGATGCATCAGGTTTGCAGGTTTTGGTTCTCAGTAAAGGTCCTTGGGAAGCGTTCACAATAGGTTGTTTTTTTTATTGTGTGTAACGCCATTGCCACAAGAGGAAAACACAGACTTGTAATGCGGCTAAGCCTTGCTCTCACCAAGTGGCAAAGGAACCTGTTATTTTTTAAAACACCAGAGCTTCTGCTCTGTTTCCCTACTTATCTGAGGTTAGACTCTGACCTCAGCCATTCTAGAACAAAGCCACAGACCTCAGCAGTCAATGTGGAGACTAGTATGGGGCAAATTCTCATAAAATCCATACAGTTTATCTCGTGGCCACACCACAGGGACTTTCATCAGTTGCAGAGTTTCATATAGAACATAGGAGAAAAGATGATGAGTTTAAAGAGAAGCCTTCCCGCCAGCCTGGTTCCAGAGCCGCATTAGTCCCAAATGAACACACAGGAGGCTATATTAATTATGAAGCTGTTGGTTGGCCTTGCTTGTTTCTTACTGGCTAGCTCTGACTTAAGTATTTATCCCATAATTGTAAATCTATGTATTTCTCTTACTGGAGAGGTTTCCGGGCTTCCTACCCCATGGCGTTAGATCTTGACTCCTGGGTTTTCCTACCCAGAGTCCTCCTGAACTCCTAGTACCACCTATCTTGGTTCCCTATTGGCCAACAGTGCTTTATTGACATATACACAGGACTTCCCCCATCAGATGAGTCTGTATGCGTTGTTAGAAGGGCACAGTAAGAAGTCGCACCCAGGCTTGGATATCCGAGAAGAGGTCGGGAAGGGGAGTTGTTTCCCAGGGCTGTATTTGCATTATGATCATTTGAAGGATTCTCAATTCCAGACTTGCCTCAGTTGTAAACACGTAATGGGATGTTTGCTGTGTCCATACTTGGTGTGAGGGGCTCTGCCCGCTAAGTGTGCCCCGTTGAGAAGTCATTACACTTCAGCGTGTCTGAGAGGACCAGGGCATTGTGGGAATGATGGGCCACCACTAAGAGGGTCGTTATTTAGGTTGTAGTCATTTTGTAGTTACTCCACGAGGCAGCATTTTTTCCCAACCTCTGGCTAAGGTTGGTCATCTTCTTCCTACCCTACTTCAGCTACTCTCTTGCGAACTTGGTAGGATCTTGTGGTTGCATTCATTGACTGCTTCCTTTTCTGTCGGGTGTGGAGGAAGGCCCGAATGAGTGTGTTTTGTTGGCACGAACGAGCTGGCCATGTCAAGGACCTGATGGAGAAACAGGAAAGCCTTCCTCTGGTTGTTAGAGTTGGAGTCCATGGAAGATAGGTATAAATGAGACTGCAAACACCCTGGGCACAAGCTAACGAGGCCCCTTGCTCTTGTACGCCCAGCATCTGCAATCATGAGCTGTGAATTTGTTGGTACTTAAGCTGTGCAGTCTTCGGAGGTTCATTAGATTGCACAATCAGTCTAAGAAACGGTTCAGAGAAGGTTCGTTTTTAAATTTCAGATAGTATATAGTTGTCCATTTAACATACCCTGTTTATCCATCTGTGCTGGGCTTGGTTGACACCAATTTTTAAAGTAAAATTAGGACAGTTTACAGTGCAAAGCAACTAAGCGGATTTACAACTTGTGGATTTTTCTTTAATTGCTTATTTTTATGGACATTATGGGACTTTGGTCTGCATAGACCAGAAGAGGACA